ATGGCAAATGCAAAGGCCTAGTGGTGGCAGCAGGCCTGGCATGTTCTGGGAACAGCCAGGAGACCAGTGTGGCTGGAGCAGAATGAATGAGGAGGTAGTTCAGAGAGGGAACTGGGGGCAAACAGCAATTTCAAGGACCTCCACTGGCTTTTCCTCTGAGATGGGACTCATTGGAAGGGTTTCAGCAGAGGAGTGATATAATTTCACTCTCGCACACACACTCTCTCTCTTTTTTTAGACCGACTCCCTGCGGCTGCTGTGTTGAAGACTGTAGCTGGAATCACGGACAATGGCTGGGAGCTCTTGCCATAACCCAGGGGAGAGACGACGGCGATGTGGTCGTGGTGGATAAGGTAAGAAGTGGCTGCATTCTCTGTTCTGAAGGTCAAGCTGAAAAATGTGCTCCCAGGTTGGCCATGGGATAGGAGAGAAGATGAATCAGTTCCGTCGCTCTGTCAGCGTTCTTCAGTAATTTCATCGTTACAGATAAGAGGGTGGTCAACATCCTGTAGATAGATCTGTGGACCATCGGAATGATTTCCCTGGGGTAGAGGCAGTCCTTCTAACTCAGCAGCCATCCCCCACCCCAGGCCACTGCAGGCCGCCTGTGCAGGTATATACCTAGAGGCAATGTGGGGTGGTGATCAGAGCCAGAACCTTGGTGCCGGACACCTGGGAGCAAACCTTAGCTCTGCAGTCACTACCCATGGGTTAATTAACGTTTCTGTGCCTCAGTTTCTTCACCTATAAATTTTAAATAATGATAGCCAGTATCCCGTAGCTGAGATTGATTGGGTTAATATAGGTAAAGCCTGGTGCATAATAAGCATCATGTAAAAATGTCAGATATTTTGGTTTACATGAGAAAATGTCCAAATATGAGCGTTTTAAAAGGAACGTTTTAATACCTTCAACGGAAAACCAGTGTCACTTGCGCGGAAGAACTGGAAACCATAAAATGAAATAAATGTAATTTAATGGAAGCAAAACAGCGCTGTTAAATTCTAGTTAGACATCCTAACAGAGCCGAGTGGACCGGGCAGTGGTAGACAGAGGCTCAAGCCCCATTAGTTCCAAACACGGAGGGCTTGCTCCAGCTGAAACACAAGGTTTGCAGAGCTTTAAATGCTCGCTCTACTCTCACCTGACATGTAAACCCATCACACTTTTGAAAATACTGTTCTGGGACTTCTCAGTATTTAAGGCTTTAGATGACTATGGGCTTACTGGTTGTCAAAGGGTGCGGCGGTTAACTCTGGCTCCCACAGCTTTCCTAGGTTTTCCTTCCACAGGATGTATGGGGCGTGTTTCCGGAGCGGGTCTCTGGTTCCCTCTAATACAAATGTGGCTCACTAAGTGGGACACAGTTAGTCCCGGGTCCCATTGACTTGCTGCCCAGGCCTGTTCCTGTTCGCCCTCCTGCCTAGTCTCGGGAAACCTCTGGGCAGCCCAGGGTTGGGCGCGGGGCTGGGCCCTCCCGCCGGGGGCTAAGGGAGGGTGTGGCCTACCCCGCAGGTTGGGTGGGCCCATTGCGGGGCGGGGCGCCCGGGCCGGGGTTGTGCCCGTAGGGCGGGGTGGGTGGGTACAGCGCGGGGGAGGGGCGCCTGAACCCGGGGTCTAGGGCGTGCGGGGCGGGGTGTCGGGAGCGGGGGGGTGTGGCCCGCCGGGCGGGGTGGGTGGGCAGAGCGCGGGGGCGGGCGCCGGGACAGAAGGGGCGGGGCCTGAGAGGAGCCGGAGTGGAAGTCCGAGCCTTGAGGGTTGTGCCCAGACCGCAAGGCGGAATTGGGGCGCAGGTGATTGTGCGGTGAGTGCCCCTCTACGCTGCACGGGAGCGCAGGGAGCTGCGCCCGGGACTCGGACACTTGGCTTTTGAGCTGTCCCAGGCGTCGGGCTTGGGGGGGGGGATACCCTGGTTTTCCCTTCGGGAGTCCTGGGGTCTAAATGGAAGGTCGAAGGAAAAGGGGGAGTCTCGAGGTAGCGGAGGCCCCTGGCGGACAGCGGCTACAGAGGATGAGGAGGCTTGGGGGCGTGAGCAGGACTTCCGGGCCCCCTGAAACTTTGAGGTCTGGAGAGAGGCTGTGTGCTGCCATCCTGACGGGTTTGGAGGGGGAGCCTGCAGAAGGAGAAGTTCCGAGGCACAGGGCTGGCCTTGGAATGAGATTTCAGTTCTTAGAGGAAGCCTCCTCAACGCTCAGTTGCGACTCCTCTTTTTGGGCCGCAGTTTCCCCATCTTCATCATGCCTGTGAATGGGTGGGTATAGGTAGCACTGCCTGGATGGTCTCTAACCCTGCCCATATGGCCTTGTAACTCTTAGGGGAGCCTCCTGCCTCCTTCCTTCCCTTGGTGGGTGTGCAGACCTCTGCTCATCCCCATCCCTTCCCACAGGGGCCCACACCCGGGCCTGCCCAGCCTCGCATCCTCTGTGCCTTCTGCCCTGTCCTTTGGTCCTCATGTTGGGGAGCAGCCATCCGGTCCTACTGTTTGCTTTCCAGGAAACTAAAAAGCCTCCCCAAATCTCCTCCCACAGCTGGATCCCTGGCTGTGTGTCTGCTCTTGGTTGTCTCCCTCTTTCTGACCCTGTAGGCTTCTCCTTTGTGTGGCCTTGGTCTCCGCATGGACTGTTCTTGTCTGCCATGTCACCTGTCCCCTTGGTGAAGATCAGAGTGACACTCCTGTTGCCTCTGCTCTCCTGTCCCCATCACTGTGCCCTTAAGTTCGTTGGTTACTCAGATCCCCTTTGCCAGTTGGGGAGCTGAGGCTGGAAGGGACCCCTATTTAGGCCACCCACCTCCCACCTGGTGCAGGACCCCTCTGGCTGCATATGGTCAGTGATGATGACTTATGGGGGTGCCTGTTCATCGTCCTGCAGCTCTCGTTACACTGAGCTAAAATCGACGGCTTGCAGATTTCCACCACTCAGTTCCACTTCTGTCTCCCGGAGCCATGTAGAGTCAATTCACTTTTTTATTCATTCAAATGATCTTTATCGATACACTGGGTGAGACACTGGGCTGTAGCAATAAAAAACAAAAAAAGTCCGGATGAAACTCCCTGCCTTAATGGATTTCATATTCTAGAAAGGAGTAGGACAACAATCAAATAAGTATATACATGATCTATCAGGCAGTGAGAGGTGCTGTGGAGAAAAACAAAGCAGACAACGGGGGTGAGGGCTGGGCTTGGGTATTGCAGGTTTATAAAGCATAGTCAGGGAGGGCCTCTCGGAGGTGGTGACAATGGAACAGAGCCTTGAAGGAGGTGAAGGGTGAGCTATGTGAACATCTGAAGGGAAGGACAGAGCACCCGTGGAGGGAAGAGCACAGAGTCTGTGCAAAGGCCCTCAGGCAGAGGCATGCCTGGTGGGAGCAGGTCCAGCTTGTTCCAGGAGCAAGGAGGAGGTCAGTGCGGCTGGAACAGGATGGGTGAAGAGCGCGCGGGGGGGGGGGGGGGGGGGGGGGAGGTTAGTAGGAGATGAATGCGGAGAGGTAAGGGGTCAGGAAGTGGGGGTCCATTGTGTGGGGCCTTGAAGGCCACTGTGAGGACTTGGGTTTTTACTCCGAGTGCAGTGAGAGCCACTGGAGGACTTTGAAGAGAGGAGTCACCTGCTCTGAGTCAGGGCAGGAGGCTGAGGGGGAGGGTAGTGACCTGACCGCCATTGCCATGCTGGGGAGAGACCCTGGGGGCTTGTATGCACAGCATAGAGGCCATGGGACAATATCAGATTTTCCGATTTGGGGTCAAGTTTGAAGGTAGGGTCAGGAGGATTTGGATGTGAGAGAAAGGTGGAGTTGGGGATGACTTGAAGGTTTTTGGCCCGAGAGTCTGGAAGCTTGGAGCTGCCATCTCCTGAAATGGGGGCTGTTTAGGGGGAGGAGCTGGAATGCTGACTTGTGCCTACTATGTCTGAGATGCCCGTTATGGGTCCACGGGCAGGTGCCTAGGGGCAACTGGGAAAGTTTAATGGGGGGGTTGGAGCTGGAAATAAAATTTGGGGCTGGCATTTAGAGCTGTAAGAGCCGGCGAACTCACTTAGGGAGAGAGTGGTACAGAGAAGAGACACCCGACCCGGGAGCTCTGGGGCTCGCAGCAGCAGGAGCCAGCCAAGGAGACAGACAGACGGAGCGGCCAGTGGGATGGGAGAAGTCAGAGATGGGGTGTCCCCGATGGCAGGGAAGAGCGTGCTGCGAGGGGAGAGAGAGCCGTTCTGATAGATGCCTTTGGCCTAGCCAGCTGGTCGAGGGCTGAGAACCCAGCTGAGACAAGGACAGTCTGGGGGGCTGTGCCTGGAGGGGACAGGTGGGAAAGAATGGAGGACAGCAGTACAGACAACACACGGGATTCCTGCTGTGAAAGGAGGTTGGGGAATTTGGAATTGGAGCTGCCAGAGGAAGAGAAGGCTCTGGGTGTTGGTGGGAAATGGTCTGAACAGGTGATATAGGGGCAAGAAACAGGACTTTAGGGACAATTTTTATGAAATAGGGGATGATTGGTCATCTGTTTTCTCTCATGCCCAATTGAAGTCAAAGCAGGAGAAACTTAAGTTGGACATGATGGTGAACTTCCTGAGCTGGTTGTTTGAGGACCGCAGCAAAGCCAGGTTCTCCCCCAGGGACGTTTACAGCAAGAAAGGACAATGCCTGCTCAGAAACAGGGTTTTGACCAAATGCATCCTTGGGGATTCTTCCTGCTTTGAGGTTTCTGGAAGGAGGCCAGGGGAAGAGTTGGGGCTTTCCAGCTGCTGAGGGGGATAGAGCATCAGCCCTTAGAGCTCAGGCCTGCCTCTCCTTCCTGGTGTCTGCAGATCCTTGATGTCACTGGTTGGATGTGTGTGGCTCAAGCATTTGTCAGTTGCTCCAGACTTGGGGTGTTTGGGAAGGACTCCTGCTTACTCTCCCAGGTTGTCCCCGGGGGGTGAGCACAACTGGAGGGTGTGTCTCAGGTCCAGGGAGTGGCTCAGTGCAGGTCATGGTGGATGCACAAGGCTTTACAGCAGAACTGATGAGAAAGACCTAGTTACTGCACAGTAGCTTGGCCAACTCTGGCTTCCAGGCCATCCTTCTGGGATTTCCCCGGGAAGTGGGGTCTGGGTGAATCCAGACCTGCCAGCGTTGTGCCACTCAGCCTTGGCCTTCCTGCTCAAGGCTGTGCCTGCTCCATCAAGCCTAATGATCTTTGCAGGGGGAGAGTGTGGTCTAGGTTCTCTGGATACAGAGGAGGGAGGAGCTGTCCATCCTCAGGCATCGGCTAGGTAAGAGGAGTAGGTATTGTCCGGTCTTAAGTGAACTTTGCAACATCTTTATTTCCTGGCTGCACGCCTGCCCTCCAGGCATGGGGTCAGAGGGAGAGTGCCCACCCCATGTCTGGGCTCTTCCCAGAGGGTGGTGGTTCTTTTCCCCAGGTCCTGGGCAGGAGTGGCAGTGGTGTTGGGGTTTCCACAGCCAAGAGTCATGCCAGGGCCAAGTCCAGAGGTCTTCCTACCTGTCCTGTTCTCCCCTCTCCCATCTCTCCATGTCTGCCGTCCTGACTTCTCTGCCTGGCCGTGGGCCCAGGGCGGAGGCCTGCCTGGCCAGAGAGAATGGCCCTATAGAAGCCTCTAGATGGGGAATGCCCTCCCGAGCTTCCAGACATGCAGGCAACTTTGCCTTACCTTATCTCCTCTCTGGCCAGCCCAAGGCTTCCAACCTGAGTGCTGGCAACAGTCTGAGTTGGAGATGTCTCCTTTTCCTTCCCTTGGCTGGCATAGGAGGGCAGGCACAGAATGTTCCAGGCCCTCCCCTTCCTCGGTAGATTTTTGACTCATGAGCATTCCCACCGTGCCTCCCCGAGGCTCTGCCCTGTGCCAAGCTTAGGGATGCCAGGATGAGTAAGACCCAGGCTTCTACTCGGGCCGAGAAGGGGGAGAGACACATAAACAGCATACAGGAGAGAGACAAAGTCTCCAAGGGCCTTGGCGTCTCCTCCCTCGAGTAACTCAGAATGTCCATGTTTTGGAAAAAGAAGGAGGTGTTCCTCTTCCTTTTCCCTTTTGCTTTCGCTTTCTCTGGGCACTGCACCCGTCCATGTCCCTGATCCCTGTGACAGTCGCGGCATGGACCCACCTGAGAGACTTTCTTCTGCTGCTTGGGGACCCTCCCGGGGCCTGGAGCTCGGAGAAATCAAAAACTTCCCCTCAAACTCCCAGAGCCCAGAGCCTGAAGGCTGAGCCCAGAGTAAGCCACGGGCAGAGACGACAGCATAAAATGTGGTGAGAGAGTGGGAAGGAAGCGAGGGCCTGGGCCGGGAGATAGTTGGGAAGGAGGCGGTTTCAACTGGGGTCCGTGCTCCCCCGAACTTTGAACTGACTTAGTGTACACTTGGATTTTTGCTTCACCTGGGCTGAGATCTTTATAGCAATGTTCTGGTCTGCCCCCTGGGGTTGTGGTGGGTTACCCTAGCAGGCATGGGCTTAGGGGCCCTGTGGGGGATCCCAAATGTGGGGGAATTAAGGGCATGGATTCTGGAATCACACTGCTTGGGTTCAAACCCCAGCTCCACCTCATCTGCCTGGGAATCCTTGTACAAGTCCCTTGGCCTGTCGGTGCCTCGGTTTCTTCATCTGTAAAATGGGTCGATTGCAGCCCCTGCTTCAGAGTGGTTGGGCGGGTTGAATGAATTCACATGTGGGAGCACTTAGACCAATTGGCAGCCCTTCACATGTGCTTAGTAAATATCAGCTGTTACTGGCGAGAGCACAGCCCTCAGCCTGAATCCAGCCAGCAGGGCAGAGCCTGCTCCTAGGGACCCAAAGAGAGTTAATTTCCAGATCCCTTGGGAATCCTTGCTCTGACTATTAGCTCAAGCCTTACCAAGCCTTCTTGAGCCAGGGATGAAGTGCAGATTTGGAAACCAGGAGCCTTGCTTGAACTCATGGCTGCTTCAAACTCTCTGTAGGACCCCGAGCCCATTTTTTGCCTTGTCTGGGCCTCATTCTGTACATCTGCACAAGGGGGAGCTTGGAATCCTGGACTGGGTCATGTCCCAGCAGAGCCATGGCCTCCTCAGAGTTGGGGTGGGGCTGACTCGTCACTCCCCACCCCCGCCCCCACTGCCCCCTGCCTGCCTTCAGAGGAGTTCTGCACTGACCTCACTCTCCTCCCCAGGTTATGAAATGTGTACCCAGGAGGCTTTCCAGGCTCAGAGGAGCCAGCTGGTGGGGTTAATTGTCTCGGGGTCCCTGGAGGGCTTCGAGAGCATCCTGGACTGGCTGCTTTCCTGGGAAGTCCTCTCCTGGGAAGACTACGAGGGCCTCAGCCTCCTGGGCCAGCCGCTTTCACACTTGGCCAGGCGCCTCCTGGACACTGTCTGGAACAAGGGCACTTGGGGCTGTGAACAGCTCATCGCGGCCGTCCGGGAGGCCCAGACCGACTACCAGGCCCGGGAGCTGTCCAGCTGCTGGGACCCCCACTCGCCCCACCCAGCCCGGGACCTGCAGAGTCACCGGCCAGCCATCGTCAGGAGGCTCCACAGCCACGTGGAGGGTGTGCTGGATCTAGCCTGGGAGCACGGTTTCATCAGCCAGTACGAATGTGATGAAATCCGGTTGCCCATCTTCACGTCCTCCCAGCGGGTAAGGCACTTGGGTCTTGGGTAATCAGAATTCACGGGAAAAGGGTGCTTAGTCACCAGGACGGATTTGTCTTGGGGGGGGCGGGCTGGCCTTCCCCCTAACAAGGTCACCCGGCAGGTAAAAGTTGTTCGGGACCCGTTCTCTGTGTCTTCAGGACTTCTCTGCGGAAACTCTCCCTCCTTAATCTCCCGTCTCTTCTCATCTGTGAAGCATCAGTAAGGTTCTCAGGAGAAGTCAGTGACTTGATTCGTGTAACCCTTTCGGCAGTGTCTAGTGCATAGGATCCACTCGTTATCCGTCCCATTGGCCGCCATTAGTTGTGTTACAACGGTACTCTGTACGCTTTTTGACGGTCTTAAATTAACAGCTCAACATCAGAATTCATTAAGTTGTATTTCGTAATTAATTATTACATTATATTTAATAGATAATTTAACATTTAATTGCTACTCGTTCATAATTAGCACACTGTGGACCAGTGCTGTTCACTTGTCTATGTTGGATTTCTGATACGAACTTGCTTTTGGCTGATAGACATTCAGAGCTGGGGTATAACTCCCTCTGAAAAACGCCATTCCATGAGACCGGAGAAGTGTCTTTTGGGTGGTTTTGAAACTCTTTATTCATTTTACCCTAAAGAGCGACCCTCAGAGCTCTTGAGATACAGATGGAACCGTCACTGACATCCCCTTTTATGTACTGGAGAACTAATGCCCAGAACAGTGGTTTGATGGCAGGGAAGTCCCGTGTTGGACCTGGTACCTTGACTCCCTTGTTCATTGTTAATGTATGCATTTATTTATTCAGCCAGAATCTATTTTTTTAAGATTATTTATTTATTTGAGAGAGAGCAAGCATAAGTGAGGGGTGGCACAGAAGCCCAGGGAGAAGCAGGCTCCCCTGCTGAGCAGGGAACCTGATGAGGGACTCGATCCCCAGACCCTGAGATTGTGATCTGAGCCCAAGGTAGACACTTAGATGATGGAGCCACCTAGGCACTCTGTTGGCCAGATTCTGTTTAGATGCTGTTTAGTATGTGCCGGGCTCTTAAAGCTTCTTGAAATAGACACTAAATAAATACTCATTGATGGAACACCTCAGTTATTGAATGAATGAATGAATGAATGAATGAATTGGAATTAAATGGCAGTGTGAGGATGAACCGAACTGGGGAATGTTCTAGTTTTTATTTGTCAGTTAAAAAAATGTCTTTGGTGATTAGGTGAGTCTAGGTTGGGACCGATGGGATAAGCCAGTGTGTCCTCAAGGCTGTTTGAAAGCTGGCTCAAGGAGGCTGCATGTTTACAGAGCTCACGTGCTGTGGGCCCCTCTTGTTACTCATCAGTGCATGTGAAACCTACAGTTCTACCCTGGGCCGGCCCCAGCTCCTCAAGCCTGGCCCTGTGGGGGTTCCAGAAAGCATGTTTGTCATTGCACCTGCCCTGGTGTCTTTTGTGATCCGTTGTGGAGAGTGAATCAGCCCCTTTGGGAAGTTCAAGGATTGTGTCTTGTCATCTTTGATCCAGTGTTCAACAGTGTAGTCTGGTGTGGATGCTCTGAGGGGTTTCGAGAAGGTAGCCTCGAGCCTAGAGGGGACAGGACATGCATCGAGGAGGTATTTGGATTGATGAGAAAAGGAAATAGGGTAATCATGGGCCAAAGAAGAAATCATAAGGGAAATCAGAAAATAATTTAGAACCAAACAGTAATGAGAATCTGATTTATAAAAATGTATGGGGTACAGCTAGAGTGGAACATAGAGGGAAATTTATAACCTTAAATGCTAATATTAGGAAAGAAGCAAGGCTGCATTTTAATGAGCTAAAACTCCATGTTAAGAAAGGGCTGGGTGGACAGCAAAAGCACCCGTCGCTGGGACTGTGCAGAGCATGTGGCGGACAAGACCTCTGAGGGTTATAGGCATTTCCCAAGGGACTGGGTGGCCCGAGGTTTAAGTTTCTGGAATGCAGCTTTTCTCTAAGCTTTTTCTGAGCTCTCTGATTCTCCAACTTGATGGGTTGCCTTCTGTGGCTGAATTTCTGATTCATTGTGGCTGGCATTTGTGGTATGTCCAACTGACCTATCCCCCCAACCCAGGACTGCTTTGTTTACTCTCTAAACTGAACTTGTAATTTTCTAGAAGGAGGCGGTTGTCATAGATTTCAGGTTGAGGACTGAGAAAATGCTTCAGTTGAAGAATTAGATGCAGTGTTGCAAGAACTAGATCCAAGTTGTAGAACCAGATCCCTTAAAGACCCAAACAGTAGTTTGCTGAGTGAGTGCCTACCATGTGCCAGGCATGGTCCATAGCCCTTGAAGGTTGTGATTTCTATGCCACACTACAACCTTCTCGGCGTGTCGTGTTGGTTCTACTGTTTCTTAACAATAAAGGAACTGTCCAAACCACCATCTGGGAAGTGGCCCAGCTAGAGTTCCAATCCAGGCCTGATTGTCCCCAGAGCAAATGCTCTTCTCTTTCTGACATGAAATGTGGGGCTTCGTGTGATGACCTTGCGCAGTTGGGTGTAAGAGTTGTCAGCAGACTTGAGGCTATCAAACCAGCAGTCCATCTGACTCATGCACCTGCTCAGGCTGCTAGGCCAGGGTCAGACTGAATAGCTTGACTCTTTTGTGATATTAACTGCAACACCTTTAACTTGGGAAATGTAGCATGCCAGCAAGAAAGTGTTTAATTTCATATGGTGTGATTTCAACATGTTCCCATCACTCACAAAAAGACATAGAATGTTACTAGTATTTTCCTCCACTGCTACCCGTAGCCTGACTTTCGTGTAAAATCATTTCTTTGCTTTTCTTCATAGTTTTGACACCTTATGCAATAATTCTCCAAACAATGTGTTTTGCTTTGAAAAAGTTCTAGCAAGCACAAGCATAACAGTGTCAAGGAAAGAGATGTCCTGCCTTTCCTTCTTGGATGCAGGCTTCCAGGGGCAGGGAAACTGAACAGGGCCTCAGAGACTTGGTCTTGGCTTTACTGTTTGGAGGCTTTCTAAGGGCTCCTGCTGGGAAGTCAGTGGGCAAGGTCATTGAGTGAGTCCTGAGAGCTGGAGGGTCTGGTATGGCAGCGATGAGTCAGAGGCTGGATGTCCAGGAATAGTCAGAGGAAGTGGGCTGCTCTGTGTGTTCAGTTGTAAGCTTCTCCAAGGCTCTTCCAGCTCCCAGGAATAGGGAAGCCAGATACTTCACAAGGGTGAAATGGGTGTCCTCAGCTGATCCAGGCCACAGGGGTTGAGAGAAAGAATGATATTAGCCTGTGGTGTAGACGAGCCAAATATAGATAAGGATTAGAGCCAGGTGTGCCTGGACATCTAGGAAATAATTCCCCTGAACATGTGTGACTCTTAAGTCACGTTGCTCCAATCTCCTTCTACTTATGGTAGAGCCATTATCCTGAGATTTCCCTTCCTAGTCCTCTTGTGTTGGTTTTCTTCTATCCTGAGTCATCTAGTCTTCCTTTGTCTTGGTTTGTTCTATTGTGGGAGATGATATCTTCCAGAATCTGTAAAATGAGTATCTGGGAATTAAAATTTTAAGCTTGCATATAGCTACAAGTTTCCTTGCACTTGATCAACATTTTGGTTGGGTATAAAATTTTGGGTTGGTCATTATTTTCCCACATGAGATGCTTTCTTTGGGCATATGATGCTCCTTAGTTGGCTGCTCATGACTGAAATAGACTCCCTAAAACTTACCGGAAACTCAGAGCCTATAGGTGAAACCTGTCTACCTTGCGTTTCACTGTAGACGTTTAGGAAGTGATGGTATTTGTATCTTTAGACCATTCCTCCTAGGCTGGTCTGACTGCCAGAGTTGTGGGACCCCAGTGAGTAAGAGGGCTGGCCGGTGATTGTGGTGGAGAGAGGTCTCTGCGTTCAGCACTCATTGTGCACATGGTCATTTAAACCTTCTTTTGGGGGCATGATGCCCACGTCCTTTATTGTGCCTGCTGCCTCCCAGTCCGGGGACCCTGTTTTAGCCTTTCCAGATATAAATCTCCATATTCTGCCACGGCAGGGCAGGAACAGTTGCTGTTGGCTTGGAGTGGGTCAGGGGAACAAGAGATCTGTTTTTGTTTTTGTTTTTTTAAAAGATTTTATTTGTTTATTTGACAGAGAGAGATCACAAGTAGGCAGAGAGGTAGGCAGAGGGAGGGGGGAAGCAGGGGAGTCCTATTCGGGGCTCTATCCCAGGACCCTGAGATCATGACCCGAGCTGAAGGCAGAGCCTTAACCCACTGAGCCACCCAGGTGCCCAAGAGATCTGTTTTATAAACCATGTTGACTCAACCCTCCTTACTTGAATCATTTCCTTTGGTTCTGGAGGTACCTGATGCTCTTAATTCCAGAGATCTTTATAGAGTCTGAGATACATGTTATGTGGTTTTCAACTTGCCCACTGTTGGCTTAGGATCCGGCTTTCTGGGTTCTTCTAAGTCCATTACTAGTCATTCCTTTGGCAAGTCCTTGAATGCATGCTCTGTGCCAGGCACTCTTCTAGGTGTTGAGGAAACAGCAGTGAGCAAAACAGACAACAATCCTCATCCTGGAGATGCTCATGTCCTGGTGCAGGGCGATGGACAATAAGCAAAAGGAAGCAAATGACAGGGCACGTTGGAAAGTGATGGATGTGCTGTAGAAAATAACTAGAGTGGGTCTGGGGTTTGAAAGTTACAGGAAGTGGAGGTAGTGATGGCAATTTTAAATAGAGTGTTCGGGGAGTTCTCAAGAAGGTGATATTTGAGCAAAGGCTTGAAGGAGGTGAAGGAAGGGGTCATGTGGACAGCTGGAGAAAGGGCATTCCAGGCAGAGGGGACAGCCCCAGCAAAGGCCTGGATGTGGGAGCATGCTTGATATTTCCAGAAACCCTGAGGCTGGTATTCTTAGTGGAATGAGCAGGGGGAAGAGCAATAAGGGGGGAGGTCAGAGAAGTTAAGCAGGATCCCGAGGGTCACAGACAGCACTTTGGTCTGTTTGGAGCCTTATAGGTTACTGTTGACCTTGGGCTTTTACTCTGAGAAAAATGAGGGACATGCTGGGACATTTGTAACAGGAGAGGTATGATCCGACTTTTAAAGAATGACACTCAGCCTGTGGTGTTGAGAATAGATTCTGGGGACAGGGACAGAAGCAGGACACCAGTTGGGCAGCATTTGCCATTTTCCAGGTGGGCACTGATGGTGGCTTGGACAGTAGCATAGAGGAGGGGACAAGAAAGGGCTGGGCTCTCTAGCTGTGTGTCCACTGGGGTAGACACTGGCCACATGTGGCTTTTGAGCACTTGAAATGTGGCCATGGGGTTGGGAATTGTGGTCCATGATGGGGATTCTGCTCCGAAGACCTAATATGAAAGAAAGAATGTAAAATATCTCAGTAATTTTTTATATTGATTACATGTTGAAATGGTAATATTCTGGCTATATTTGGCTAAATAAGATATATGATTGAAATGGATTACATTGGTTTTTACTTTAAAAAATATGGATACTAGAAGATCCAACATTACAAATACAACTCACCTTTGTGTGTACCCTCTGGGCAGCGAGCGTTCTACTTCTGTTGTGCTGTTCTGATTATGTGTTCGTGTTCAAGCCAACAGGATTTGTTGGGCAGATTGTAGGGGAGAGGCTTCCAGGGCGATTCTGGAAGTCTGGGGCAGAGCAGCTGGAAGGGTGGCATTGACATTAGCTTGGGAGGAGGAAGGCTGTAGGTTTGCAGGTGGGTGTAGATGAGGAGTCTGATTGTGGATATGTTAAGTCGGAGGTGTTTTGGGGACATCTAAGTGGAGATGGTGGGCAGGCAGTTTCGGGTGTGCGTGTCCAAGGTTCAGGGGAGCAGGTGAGGTTGGAGATGGAAATGTGGGCATCGTGCTCAGGGATGGTATGCCCAGCCTCGCGGCTCCATGCAATCACCTGTCTTCCAGATGAGTTCTCACTTCCAGAATTGTTTTTCCTATCCTTGCAGGTTTACAGATTTATGGCTTTTTTTTCTTTAAGTTGTTCCTTTTTAGTGGGAGCCAGATCGGGTGTGTGTGTGCTCTAGTGTTCGCTTCATCATGCAGCATCTAGTGACTTCTTTAAACTCGTCTTGCTGTTTGGGGGTTTTTCTGGCCTCTAACTGTGGTGGAAGGGAGACACCTATGAAACTCTAGTGATCAGTAGAAACCTTCCCACACCATCTCCATCTGCCTTTCTGGAAAGATACTTTTTTTATGTTATTTTGCTCTCCCCATAGGCAAGGAAGCTCCTCGATCTTGCCACAGTGAAGGCGAATGGGTTGGCTGCCTTCCTTCTACGTCATGTTCAGAAATTGCCAGTCTCGGTGGCCCTGCCTTTTGAAGGTATATACTTATATGTTCCTCTCCGTTCACAAGAAAGGGAAAGAAAGGCTTTACAGAGTCCTGATTAAGAGCAGAACTCTGGAGTGAGACGTGCCTTTAGAATTTCACTTCCTGGCTGTGTGGGCCTCCTTAGGACTCAGTTTCCTGATTTCAAGGATAACACCGCCACTAGGATTGAAAGGATTACCATGTGTAGTATTAGCGTTAGCTTTTATTACTTCCGGAGCTGGACAGTGATAACTGGAGCTTCACTAGCCAAACTCTTATTATCTGTGCTGCAAAGGGTACGTTTTGAGATAGGGCTGTTATCTCTTGATTTCTGCAATTTACTGCTCACTATCAGAAACTGCAGGACCCACGGATTTAGATAATGTGGTGTCTCTCCTAGCACACAGCCACCAACCCAACCCAACCCAGGGACGGGAGGGGCTTTGGATCCCACAGCTGGAACCTGGCAGACATCCTTGCAAGGTGCTTTATTTATCGTATCTGTCCTTGATGGCAACCTTGAGAAATCAGTGTCATTTTTTTCCAATTTACGGATGTGAAAACTGGGGCAAGGAAGGTGGGGGTTGAGGTGGGGAGGATGGGTCTGTTTTTAAACCGTCTTCACCGCTGCTTCCCTTTTCGTTGGGAGAAGAGAGATCGTCCGTTGTAAAGAGCAGGCACGAGCCTTGTATGTCTTGTTCCCCTGTCACCATAGGGATTGTTCATTGGCAGTGAGGGCCTCTGAGCTGTGGGTGGTGCTAGCGGAGAGATTTACTACTCTGAGCTCTACCCTCTGGGTGGCAAGCATTGCCTGCAGGAAGGATGGCTAGAAGCCAGCCGGTGCTTGGTGCCTCGATGAGCACCGTTTCCCTGAAAACAGGGCACAGACATCAGTTTCCAACTGGGGCTGCATGGCATAGAGCACGGTTCCCCGGGTTGGGCCTTGGTTAATGTCCACTGTTGATATCACGGGTCGTAACTCTGTGACATGGTGTCAGATTCCCCAGGGTGACCAATCCGAGGTTGACAATTGACCGGTGTTTATTTTTAAAATGAAAGATCCTTGTTTTTCTGGAGAATTTTATATTGGTGGTATCTGGAGAACCTGCATTAGATCTCAGGGTATTTGAAAGGAAGGTGTATATTTTATGTTATCCATGTTCTGTGCTCCTGGTATATCCAGAGGGCTTTAAGAGCAATGATGCTCATCAGCTCTGGGCACAGAAGATGGAAGAGAAATACAGGACAACTGCTTTGGAGGACCATGAATAGAGCGTCAGTATGCTAAGTGTGCCCTGGGAGAATTACTTGTTAGCTTTTGAGTTGAGAACAAGGGCGCCGATCTTTGGTTGGAGCAGTGAACCCGTGATGCCCAAAGGTCCCCCCACCCTGGGGGCCCTGGACTACCACTTCCCCATTCCCTAAAAGGGGAACCGACTCCTGATACAGAAAGTAGTTTGCTCACGTTGGTTATTAGGATGGTAAAGGAAAAGCAGCAGCCTTGTGGACACACCCCGTGTGTAAGAGGGTTGCCGAGGGTTAAATGAAGAGGATGGGGAAGTGAATCTTGATCAAGGACTCTTGTCCAAGTGCTTGACCCCGGCACCCCACTGACCCTGACACCAAACAGTGCTAGGTCCACCTGGATTGTCCAGGATAAAATCCCTGTCTCTTTAGTTTAATCACATTTATCTAGTCCCTCCTTCGTAAGTAAGGTAACATATTCACAGATCCTGAGGATTGGGACATGGTACTACTGTTATGCCTACCAAACCCATCAGTATCATGATAACAAACACCATCTTTCAAGAGTTTACCATATGTCAGACTTTGCTCAATTCTACTGTATCTCGTTTCCTCCTGTAACAATCCTTCAACCTGTGGATTGTCCCTAATTTTGGAGATAAGTATACTGAGAAGGGGAAGGTTGAGTGGCTTGCACAAGGTAATGAGGGAACCAGCTTTCAAACGCAGGCATATCTGACTTCAGAAACTGGGCTGCCGGGCTCTTATACCTTGTGTTTTTCTTTAGAAAGAGGCAGCTGAGGTTGAATGGCTCGAAGGCCATCCTAACCAATTCGGTTGGACAGGTGTCGGCAGGCAGGTCCTCTGACCCCAGCCTGATGCTCTTTTTTTTTTTTTTTTTAAAGATTTTATTTATTTGACAGATAGAAATGACAAGTAGGCAGAGAGGCAGGCAGAGAGAGAGGAGGAAGCAGGCTCCCTGCTGAGCAGAGAGCCCGATGTGGGGCTCGATCCCAGGACCCTGAGATCATGACCTGAGCCGAAGGCAAAGGCTTTAACCCTCTGAGCCACCCAGGTGCCCACCTGATGCTCTTTCTAATCTATAGCTCTTTTTTTTTTTTTTAAAGATTTTATTTATTTATTTATTTGACAGAGAGAGAGAGAGATCACAAGTAGGCAGAGAGGCAGTGAGGGGAAAGCAGGCCCCCTGCTGAGCAGGGACACCCCCCACCCCGCCCCCATGCAGGGCTCAATCCCAGGACCCTGAGATCGTGACCTGAGCCAAAGGCAGAGGCTTAACCCACTGAGCCACCCAGGCATCCCTAATCTACTGCTCTTCCTGATGTCAGTAGGAATAATAATGCCACTAGCAAATATCTTTGGAGTACTGTGTTAGATGCTGAATGAAGCACTTGACATGAATTATCTTAATTGCTCCATGTAAACCCTATAAGGTAGGGACCCCCATTTTCCCACTTCAAGCCTGGGGGTGGGTGAGGGGATTCCCAGGCTTAGGAAGGTTATGCATCTGTCATCAAAGCCCATAGCTTGCGATTGCAGAAGTCGGGGCTGGCACATGCTGGCTCTTCTCTCCATGTGTAACATCACATGCCCTCGTGCAGCCCTCGCTCTGTCAGAGCCCATCCTCCCCACTGTCCTACCTCATCAGCCTCTTCTTCGGTCTTCCAGATGCTGCATGTAAGAAGTATATGTCCAAGCTAAGGACCACGATATCTGCTCAGTCTCGCTTTCTGAGCACCTACGATGGGGCAGAGAATCTTTGCCTAGAGGAAATATACACAGAGAATGTTCTGGAAGTCCGGACAGAGCGGGGCCCGGCCGGACTCCCACAGAAGAGCCCTGTGACGCTGGGCCTGGAGGAGCTCTTCGGCACCCGTGACCACCTCAATGAAGATGCAGACACTGTGCTGGTGGTGGGCGAGGCGGGCAGCGGCAAGAGCACACTGCTACAGCAGATGCACCTGTTGTGGGCCTCAGGGCGTGACTTCCAGGAATTTCTCTTCGTCTTCCCATTCAGCTGCCGACAGCTGCAGTGTGTGGTCAAGCCGCTGTCTGTGCAGACGCTGCTCTTTGAACACTGCTGTTGGCCTGACCTTGGCCAACAGGAGGTCTTCCAGTTCCTCCTTGACCACCCCAACCGTGTCCTCTTAACTTTCGATGGCTTTGATGAGTTCAAGTTCAGGTTCTCGGATCGTGAGCGTCACTGCTCTCCGACCGACCCCACCTCTGTCCAGAATCTGCTGTTCAACCTTCTGCAGGGCAACTTGCTCAAGAACGCGCGCAAGGTGCTGACCAGCCGTCCGGATGCGGTGTCCGCACTGCTCAGGAAATACCTGCGTTTGGAACTCCACCTCAAGGGCTTCTCGGAAGAGGGCATCGAGCTGTACCTGAGGAAGTGCCACCGTGAGCCGGGGGTGGCCGACCGCCTCGTCCGCCTGCTCAAAGCAACCTCACCCCTGCATGGGTTGTGCCACCTTCCTGTTGTCTCGTGGATGGTGTCCAAATGCCACCAGGAACTGTTGTTGCATGGTGGCGGGTCCCCAAAGACCACCACGGATCTGTACCTGCTGATCCTGCAGCATTTTCTGCTGCATGCCTCCCCACCACACTTGGTGCCCTGCGGTCTGGCACCCGGCCTGCTTCAAGGCAGGCTCCCCTCCCTCCTGCACCTGGGCCGGCTGGCTGTCTGGGGCCTGGGCACATGCTGCTACGTGTTCTCAGACAAGCAGCTCCAGGCAGCACACATCGACAGCGAGGACATTTCTCTTGGCTTCCTGGTGCATGCCAAGAGCGTTGTGCAGGGGGGCACAGCCCCCCTGGAATTCCTGCACATCACCTTCCAGTGTTTTTTTGCAGCCTTGTACCTTGTGCTTAGTGCTGACTTGTCGCCGTCCTTGCTCAGACAACTCTTCAGTTGTCACGGGCCACGCAGCTCGCTGCTGGCCCGGCTGCTGCCCCCCATGTGCGTGCCACGCTCAGAGCACCAGGAGGGCAGCATGGCCGCTTTGCTGCAAGAGGCTGAGCCCCACAACCTCCAGATCACAGCAGCCTTCCTGGCGGGGCTGCTGTCCTGGGAGCACCAGGGCCTGCTGGCTGGGAGCCAGGTGTCCGAGAAGGCCCTGCTCCAGCGCCAGGCCTGCGCCCGCAGCTGTCTGTCCTGCAGCCTCCGCAAGCACTTCCACTCCATCCCTCCGGCCGTGCCGGGGGAGGCCAAGAGCATGCACGCCATGCCTGGCTTCATCTGGCTCATCCGGAGCCTGTACGAGATGCAGGAGGAACGGCTGGCCCGGGAGGCCGTGCGGGGGCTCAAGGTCGGGCACTTGAAGCTGACGTTTTGCGGCCTGGGCCCCGCGGAGTGTGCTGCCCTGGCGTTTGTGCTGCGGCATCTCCGGCGTCCCGTGGCCCTGCAGCTGGACCACAACTCCGTAGGGGATGTTGGTGTGGAGCAGCTGCTGCCTTGCCTCAACGTCTGCAAGGCTCTATAGTGAGTGTTGCTCAGTGGCGCTGGCTCGGTGTGGGGGAGTGCCGGCGCTGAGGTGCATTGTGGGAGCTCGGCACTGGGCCCTGGGAGTCTGGGCCCTACCACCCCTTTCTAAGCAACTCCAGCCCAGTCCCTTCCCCAGTCTGGGCCTTAGTTTCGCAGTGATGATGACCCCATGCTTATGGAGTGTCCTGCCTGTCAGGCACTGTGTTACTCACTTCCTACGATTAACTCCTTTCATCTCGGTGAACACGCTGGGCCGTCTCCCCGTTATCCTCTGTATGAGGCCCAGAGAAGCAAAGTCCTTGGTCTACCATGACATTGGAGATGGCAGAGCTGGTTTGAACAAATCACATCTTTCTGGTGACAAGTCCTTACTCCCCATAAGCAGCCTGCCCCAGGGATAGATTTTGGGGGCTCCACGAGAACCTTGAAGTGACACGTCCTGTTTTGTGTATTATGTGTGAGTTATTAGGAACCACCCACAATTTAGAGGTGACTGAGTCCCCATGAGAGATTTTGAGATCACAATGAGATGCGAATTTAGGGATCCAAGAGCTGGAAGGGGCTGCAGAATGGCACCTGCCCTTTTATCCCTCATGTGGTGTGGCACCCCCGTGAGATGATGCCATCATCTGTACTGCTTCTGGACCCCCATCTGGAGGTGGGAGGTTCCCCCTTCAGAACATCTCTCTCCACGTCTTGGGCCAGGTGCACGCAGAGGGCATGCTCAGGAGGCTGCAGGCTCCCCCACTTCCCTCCCTGCCTTGAAAGGGCATGTCCTGCTCCCTATTTAAAACCTCTGAGAAAGCAGAAGTGGTAGCTTAACGTTAAAATCGACTCACAGCCTTCTGGGGTTTTTGGTCTATCCCACATGACGTTAATTTGACCCTAAGCAAGGGACAAACCTCTCTTTGAATAGATTAGGATGGCATACCTCCCCTGAGCCAAAGCAGCCAGATTTTCTTTTTCTCTGGAGCAAACATATGCATATCTGTTAGAAACTATGGTGGCCTGTGTTATCCCTTATATAGGGTCCATGCTCATAAGTTTATAAATATAAGGTAATAATAACACAATATGTAGCGTATTTTGTAGGTGAACATGTATATTATAGATAGTATACGTTAAAAATATATCAGGAAGAAATAGTCAACACATTTAAATTGAGTGATTTGCAGAAAGTTTAATAAAGGGACTGTTTTCAGAGGCTTGGGTAGCAATTAGGAAGAGCCTAAAGGGATACAGCAAGGTCTTGGGGCCAGTGACTGTGGGGTGGGGGTAGGGATGGGACTGTCACCCTCTGTAGGCCTGGAGAAGAAGGGCTTGGGGGGCAGGTGTGGAGAAGGCTCTCTGATAGGAGTAGAGGCTATAGAAAGCTGGGAGAATGGAGCCCTGTCCCTTCTTCCTCTTTCTGCTCATGCCTTGATCACCCAACCTGGAGTTGGGTGGCTGCTGCAGTCATCCGTGGGCATCAGCTCCTCAGGACCAAGAGCCAGGTAGAGAGGGAAAGTGGATCTGGCCAGGCAAATGAAGATGATTCTGTTTCCCCAGGAAGGAGGAATCCCCATATTTTCACTCAAGAAGTCTGAGGCCTGTCTGTGGGGGTCATTTTCCTGACAAAATATGAACATTTTTCTGGATGGTGGACCTGTCGTTCTCAAAGGGGTCCTCAAACCCCAAGAGGTCGGGAACCACTGGCCTGGTTGATCCTTATAGACCAGTCCACCCATAGAATGAGTGGATCCTCTCTTTTCTCAGTTAAGGAAAGCCCGCGTCACTCCTGGGATGTGTCAAAGGACTGAGGGGAGGCTCAAGGTCTGTTTCTATTTTCAGAGGAAGGTGAGGAAGGTCTGGTTCCAGTGCTCAGCCTATAGGTGCAGAGGAGCTTCTGGAAATGCAGATTCTAGGACCTGTCCCCAGTGATTCTCATTCTGTGGGTCTAGGGTGGTCTGTAGGAACCAGCTTGATTTTCCACGAGCCATAAAAGACCTTGACCAAGTTCTACTGCTCTTTACTCTCTGTACCAAAATTGCCAGCGCTGCGTGGGAGGGGAAAGGATGTGGAGGTTGCTGCTTGGGCCTTTCCTGTGTGTGTGTGTGTGCGCGCACGTGTATGCCAGAGAGAGACAGACAGACAGAGACAGAGGCTAGTGGATGGGGGTGGGTGGGCTCCTCTCCCCCATAGCCACACTGTCTCTCTCCCACTTGAAATGTTTCCATGCCAACGAAACACTCAGGCTCCAGGAAACGTGTCTACAAAGTGTCCCCATCTAGGTTTCTTTCGACCCTTGCTCTGACTCCCAGCTGTGGGCTTTCACGGTTTTTTGGCTGTGACCCACTGTGAAAGAGAAGGTACAAGCAGGCACACAGCCATCTAAAAGTGAAACAAAAACTTCACAAAATGGCTTTCCTGTGTAAACTCAGATACATTTCTGCCCTCTTCTGTTCTTTTTCCCTTTTAATAAAAATGCTGCTAGACCTTCAGAGTTGATTTTATGACCCACCAACGGGTCACAACCTGCAGCCTGAAAATTGGGGCTCTAGAAGCCCATAGAAGGCATGAGGGGGAGAGAAGCATGTGATGTCGTGCTCAGGGGTGGGCTTTGGGGCCAGACTTTCGGAGCCCTGATGCTTTAGGCGCTGAGTGACCTTTGCGTGGTCACTCCCCTTGTCTGTGCCTCAATTTCCTTCCCCTGAATGACATCATAATAGTACCTACGCAGTGAGCTTTCCTGAGGATTAAATACCTTTACTTTTGGGAAGTGGTTAGGTGAGCACCCACGCATCGGGTGCTGTATGCACACGAGCTGTCCTGGTTATAGGGAAGCTTCTACCCGTTTTGGGTGCTCCCAGGACTTTACGTGCACTGTCTCTTTAAACCTGACCTCCACATCCAGGTGGGGCTGGGAATGCCATCCTTTCCCTTCCACAGAGAAAGGGAACAGCAAATAGCCCAGATAGAAAAGGCTGCTAAGGATCCGAATTTCCACTGAGAGATCCCAGAGCCCAGGTCGTTAAACTTTAAGTTAGGGTCTCTGGGATCTGCCTGAAGATGGGGATCATGGGCACAGCTGTTACCATACACAGATCCTGGGGCCCCACCGTCCCCCGCACCCAGGAAAGGGGTCTGAGAGTCTGCATTCTAGAGATGCTTTCTGAAGATCTGGTGATCAGGCGAGTTTGGGGGGGGTGTGTTGCCCTCCAGTACCCACCATCACCTTCTGGGGGAGGCTCTGGCTAGTGCCCACCCACCTTGGAACCTTCCGGAAACTTCCTTCCGTGAGGCTGCTGTGGAGATCATTTCTGTGTTACAGAGCTGAAAACAGTGCCTCGGGCAAGGCCAGTGACCCCCCCCCCAGGGTCCCAGTGTTCTTTAACAGGAGCCATGGGCGCCCAGCTTGCTGTGCCGTCCCCCACCCAGGGCCTGACATCGGCACCCTGACCAGGGATGGGGCTTTTCCCAGTTCTGGGGTGCTCAGGGCCTGTGGTGTTTCCCAGAAACCGGCCAGACGCCGGCACTCTCGGGCCTGAGTGAAAATCTCTTTGGGGGGGATTCTTGCTTCTTTGATTTTTCTCTCATCCACTCCCTTTTCAGATTTTTTATTTTGTCTTTTTTTCAGCTTGCGGGATAACAACATCTCAGACCGAGGCGTCTGCAAGCTCGTGGAGCGTGCCCTGCACTGTGAGCAGCTGCAGAAGTTAGCGTAAGTCGGGCTTGGCTGGGGACATTGGTCGGGGCCTCGTGCCCCCAGCCATGCTCCAGGTTATGCCATGGGGGCAGTGGCTGTGAGCAGCGCCAGGGGCATCCCCCTGGTCAGAGGGTGCGGGTGGCTCCTGCGTGGAGGGAACCGGCCACCCTGGGCTTGGGTGGTCACTGACCGCTGTGCTTTGTCACCACGGCTCCTCTTTTTTGGAACCTTCCAGACTCTTCAACAACAAACTGACCGATGGCTGTGCACCCTCCATGGCCAGGCTCCTCTCGTGCAAGCGGAACTTCCTGGCGTTAAGGTGAGCGCGGGCCTTTCCTAGTCCCTGGAAACTGCCTTTCTTCTGCCCAGCTGAGCCCACCTGGTCTGGTCTTGGCCCCGGCTTGGCCTCTGCTGGGCTGGCAATCTCCTGGCTACAGATAGGGCCAGTGTGCCCTCCGAGCAGAGCTTTGCCAGCGCTCTGACCTCCCCAGCAAATTCCAGACTGGCTCTGCTGAGGGCTTCCTGACCTTTGACCTTCAGCCCCCAGGGCTGAAGAGGGTTTCTAGGACCTTTTCCTTCCCTGTGTCGAAGAGTGTCATGAGCTCTCTGGGGCTACAGAGCTGTGGGCAGAGGCGTGCACAAGTCCCCTGTCATCATGGCGATGGCAGCTAGTCATCGAAAAGCTCTCAGAAGGTCCTGTCAGCGCTTGGTGGGTGCCGGCTTTGTACTCCAGTCCCTGACGTCTGCATTTTTGCTGCTCTTGGTCCTCCCGGCTGAACTGGAGTCTCTCTCCTGAGACCATGAAATCTCCTCTCCTCTTGGCCACTGGCTCGGCCTGGCTTCGCTCTCTCTCTCTTTCTCTGGGAATGCCTTGCCTCCTGGATTTATGCGGCCGCCAAGGAAGGCAAAGCCAAGAATTGCTTTCATCCATTCTTTCTAAGGCTTGGGCTGGGTGTGGGGATTGGAGCTGCCATTTTAAAATTGCTAACTGTGGAGTTCAGGCTCAGGCCGGGCTACTGAGGCCAACCCCAGAGGGGCCTTTCTGTATAAAGGACTCTCTTCTGCCACCACCACCTGCTCCCGGAGACTTAGAATCCTGAGACCTGCCGTGGCCAGAGGCCAGGGAGGGCCGTGGGGTAGCGGGAAGGTGTTCCATGCAAACTTGAGGCCTGGGTTCTAGGCTAGAATAGCAGGAGAGTGGAGAGCATGGGGCTCTGGAATGAGACCAACCGAGGTCTGGGTCCAGGGTCCCTGAGATTCGAATCCTCATTTGCTGCCTGACCTTGGGTCTGCCCAATGTCTCTGTGACTCTTTTTCCCCTTCTGTAAAATGTGGATAATAATGATAGCTTTCTCATAGGTTGTTACGATGATGAAATGAGTTAACATATGTAGAAAGCTGACAGAATAGAGTCAATATTTCAAGTAGTGAGCTCAGTGGCTAAAAGATGGAGTATCATCATGAAAGTTCTCTGTATGGATGTCCATCGGTAGTTCAGGTCTCTGAGGAGGGATTAGATGTGCCAGAAATTTGTCGGGGAAAATGCCAATGAGGAGCAGCAGGGGAGGGTGCTAGGGGAGGCTGGGGGAGTCAGCAGACCACAGGGCAGGTCTGGCCCTGAGTGAGGGGGAGAGGGAGGGAAAGAGGGCTGGGAGGAAGTGTCATGGCTTTCCGTGCAGTTCTGAGAGCAAAGATGGCGGCAGCTAATCCTCCCACCGAGTTTGCCCAATGGGTCTCAGGTCTCCCGGTCACTGGCTGGGAGCCACCTGTGGGAAGCGGGCCTTGGTACAGAGGCAACCTTGTGTTTCCCAGCCCAGCAGCAGGGCCTTTAGTTACAGGGCCTGTGGTCAGAGGTATGAGAGGCTACCACGCTCCTTCTTGAAGGGGATAATGCTGCCTTCCCTATGACATTGTGAGCTACAGTGGCTTCAAAGGTCTGAAAGTTCTCTTGAAAGAGGGAAGTGTTTTATTAATTCCAGGAAGCCTGGGTTGTGAGCAAGAGTTCTGGGGCCCTCCCTGAAACTCTCAGAGTAATCTAGATGTGGCTGAAGCCTCCCCCCTCCAGCCCCTGCTCAGCGGGTTCCCCTTCCCTCTCCCAGCGGCCTGGGCCTGCCCTCTTTCCAGAACAGGTGAATTCTCCCACCAGCCACAATGGACCCAGGAAAGCTGAGGGAACACAGAGTCTAGCCCCAGCCTGTGGCTGACACAGGAGGAAAAGGTGTGACAGTGAGTCACCCTCCCTCCCCTGGGGAAACCACCTCTGAGGACGCCAGCCTATTGTGCCTCCTGCCTGTACCTCTCACACTGCTTTGCAAAACAGGTTTCCCCCACTTCTTTCCCTTTGCAGCTGGGAATTGAAGTAGCAGGAACCATTACTAAGTTCCCCCAAACGGGAATAGGAAAGCACAGACACTCCCTGTTGGGCGGGCAGGAACGAGAGGACAGGATCCTGAGTCCTATAGGGAGGTCCTCAAAGCTTTTCTCCATGTTCTGTGTCTGGGACATATTTTCCCTACCAGCCCCTGGCTTTCTGGGCACTCACATCCCCCTGTCCCGCACTCTCTTAGCCTCCCTGCCTTCCCTTCCAGGCTGGGGAATAACCACATCACTGCCACAGGAGCCCAGGTGCTGGCCGAGGGGCTCAGAGCCAACGCCTCCTTGCAGTTCTTGGGGTAGGTCGGATTCTGGGTCAGAGGGACCTGCGTTGGGATGGGGGTGGGAGGGTTGGGGGACTTAGAGGTAGGTGACATATTTCAGCCAGAAGGCCCCAGAGGCGGTGGGAGAGAGTGGGTGGCCCTTGGCTGCTTTGGTGTTTGTCTTTCACTCAATAAACAGGAAGTTCAGGATGTCAGCTGGTGGTGGTGGTGGGGGTTGGTGGTGGTGGTGAGCAGTGCCCATGAGCCGGTGGCTGCAGGAAGCCCTCTGGGCCTTGCTGGGGCCAGGGCGGTGGTTCTCGTCTTCGTGTGTCCATCAGAACCACTTGGGAGCCTCCGAAGAATGCCATTGCCTGGGCCCCTCCCTAGACTGATTAAATGAAATGCCGAGGTGTGGGGCTTAAGAATCGGTCATTTTAAAAAGCTCCACAGAGGCTATGCAGCCAGAGACGAGAAGCAGGGAAAGAGATGGAGGTGGACGGGGCTGGAGACTGGCCCCTGCGTGGGAGAGGGGCTTCGCCAGGTCCTTCAGAACAAGCGTTGCCATGGGGCCGGGCCAGGCCTTCCAGGGAGGACAGATGAGTCAGATGCGGGCTGGGAGGGCTGTCCCACAGAACACAGGTCCCCAAGAGAGTGTTGCTGGGGTGGCGGTGGTCAGTGGGGAGGTGGTTTCCTTTGATTGCCAGGCAGAGTGACCATCCCCCCAGGAGGGCATCCGCGCAACAACCCCCTCCTGTCCTGCCTCCCCTGGCATGAGCTAGGGTCTGTTGGATAAGAAATGGGTGTTTGAGGACCCAAGGCTCTAAGAAGAGAGACTAAACCCTTAGGGCCCAACCCATTTCATAGGCAGGCGAGCTGCCCACAAGCTCGAGAGATCAGCTCCTTTCCAAGTTGCATGCTGAGCCCCATGGAGTCCAGCACAAAGGCAGCCCCAGCCCTACCAAACTCTCTGGGCTTGGGGTCACAATTAGTGGATTGGAGGGAGGGGTGCATTCTTTTTCAACAGGTGTTTCTTAAGGCACCTGTCTGGACCAGGCACTGTGCTCAAACCTCCCGATGCTGTCCTCTGATGCGAACTGTTCTCAATATTGGTTTTTTTCTTCTTGCTTAATGATAATCTTTCATACCCTAATGACCTCATTTTTGAAGGACAAGCTGCTTAGTATTCCCTGGGCTGGATGGCTATAATCTATTTAACTGGGGCTTCTGTTGAGATGCACTGAGGTTGTTCCAGGGTTTTTTTTTTTTTTTTTTTTTTTTTTTCTGTTACAGGGTTTTCTGCAATCTCCCTGGGGCACAGAGCCGTGTTGGTCCATAGCCAGGGCTCAGGAAATATCTACCCGATGAATGAAATTGCAATGAACCTCTTAGTTTGGCCAGCTTTGCTCCCGTGTGCCCAGCCAGGTCTGGGCTCACTTTCCGTGTGTAAAACAGCCAGGTCGCAAGGTCTGAGCTGGGCGCCACCTTTGAAAAGGGACACATCCATCCCAACCCAGCGGGTCTGAGGGGGGACGACCGTGGAAGTGAAGGAGTTTGGTACCATTTAGGAATGGGGAACGCTAGGGAGGAGCAGAGAGAGAGCTGGTTTGTGGGAAAAGAGTGAGACTTGTTTTGGGTGGTCCCGGAGGGTAGTTCAGGGCCTGGGAGTAGCAGTCACTGGGAAGCTGCTTTGACCTAAAGCTGAGAAAAAATGTCACAACCCTTTAAGTTGTCACTGAGAGGGAGTTCCCTGTCCCTGCGGGCATGAGCTCCTGTTCTGTAAATCTGACAGTTTGTAAATATGGCTGAAAAACCTCTAACTGTAGCTTGGCCATCCTTCCAAAAATGTGGAGGTGGGTCCACTGTGCTGGGACCTAGGAGCCCCACTGAGACCCTTCTGGAATTGGGTGGTCCTAGCCCCTCCGGCTGGGGACGTAGAGGGGGAGGGCAGTCCTCATGCGGGTCTAGAACACATAGCAGTTACTCACGGACTGACTGACACAATCTGTTGCCCTTTTTAGGTTGTGGGGCAACAAGGTGGGTGACGAGGGGGCCCAGGCCTTGGCTGAAGCCTTGGGGGATCACCAGAGCTTGAGGTGGCTCAGGTAAGCTTCGGGATCTGCATGGCTGTGGGGAGCCAGCATGAGGAGGAAGGAGGAACCTGGGCCAGATTTGAAAGTCCTTCATTTGCTTCAACTTTATTTTTACCCCCTCCCCCCACCCTAAGAAAAAAAGACCCTTGGATTTGGAATCAGGACAGTTGAGTCTTTCTGGGTGACTTTGGAGTATCCCTTCTCCTCTTAAGGGTCTTGATTCTCAAGGGCAACTAAGTGGCTCAGTCAGTTAAGCATCCGGCCCTCGATTTTGGCTCAGGTCGTGATCTCAGGGTCGGGAGATCGAGGCCCATGTCCAGCTCTCCACTGAGCATGGAGCCTGCTTAAGATTCTCTCTCTTTCCCTCTCCCTCTCCCCCTCCCCATTCTCTCTCTCCTTCTCTCTGTGTCTCTCGCTAAAAAATTTAAAAAAAAATTCTAAAATGGGCCTTGATTCTTTATCTATAAGTTGAAGATTTGGGGCTGCCTCAGATGTATTTTATCTCAAGGACCAACTCCCGTCCATTATTAGTGGCTGCCCAGGACATCATGTCGGGAAGGAGTCTAAGGCTGCTTCCTGGGCTTCACGAAGGAGAGCATGGTAATCAATCAGTCATGTCCGAGGTGAAATGGACTAGGGATTAGGGCCATACATGTTGTGCATTTTGCCCTTCTTGGCTAAGCTTATCTCTGTGGTCCCTCCCCGCCCTGACATGTTTTCGATCCTTGATTTCGTTCAGCCTAGTGGGCAACAACATTGGCAGCACAGGGGCTCAAGCCTTAGCGTTAATGTTGGAAAAGAACGTGGCGCTGGAAGAACTCTGGTGAGTTGGGGGGGATCCCCTGCTTTGGGGAGGCATTTAACAGCCTTTCTTCATTCCTGGGTCTCCTCCATGGAAACGGAAAAAACAGGGCTGGATAATCGATCAGTTGGGCTTTTGGGATTGTCTTTCTCTCTGTCCCGGGTGGCATAAAGCATATGGGTTTGTGTCCTTCCTCCATGTGGCATAATGGTGGGGAGCAGAGACTCTGGAATCCAGCCGGCTGAGCTTCCAGGCCCGCTGTGATCTCTGGCAAGTCATCGAACAATCCCTGCATCCCAGGTTTCTTACCAAATGGATCTGGGGACACAGTAAAATGAGGGGATGACTGCTTCGAATGGTAAAGCATATGTTATTGTATGCAAAATGTTTTTTTTCATTTTTAAAGATTTTATTTGTTTATTTGATGGAGAGAGAGGATACACAAGCAGAGGGAGAGGGAGAAGCAAGCTTCCCGCTGACTGGGGAGCCTGGTGTGGGGCTCAATTCTAGGACCCCCGAATCATGACCTGAGCTGAAGGCAGTCGCTTAACCGACTGAGCCACCCAGGTGCCCCTGTTTTGTTATTTCTTTTTTAAAAAATTTTTTAAATTTTTAATTAATTAATTAATTATTTTTAAAAATTTATTTGATAGAGATTACAAGTAGGCAGAGAGGCAGGCAGAGAGAGGGGGAAGCAGGCTCCCTGCTGAGCAGAGAGCCCGATGCGGGACTCGATCCCAGGATGCTGGGATCATGACCTGGGCTGAAGGCAGAGGCTTTAACCCACTGAGCCACCCAGGTGCCCTGTTTTTCTAAGGCGAGTATCTAAGAACACTGGAAAGTAGAGTGAGGGTCACCTTGGAAGGTGGAGTGGGGTTTGGAGCAAGTTAAAAGGTGAACTGGAAATTGTACTTACATTGCTGACCTGAAACTGATTCTAGGTTTCCCGTCCTTTAGATGCCACTAGTCTGGTCTTCCTAGGATGTGTTCTGGGCAGTCCCTGGTTATATCAGGGAGATCAAATGCTGCTTTCTCCAGGAAGTGGAAGGGCATTGAAACCTCTGATCATTGTCACAAAATGGATATTTTAGTGGCCTTGGCTGTCAGCAGGGCTCCATAGCTCTGCTGACATCCCATTGGTTATATCCTGATTGACTGTACCCTTTGGAAATTCTCATTAGAGGCAGGTCTCACCCTTGGGTGTATCAGTTATGATGACATGGCTGGGCTGCAGGGCAGGAAGAACTCCATGTCCAGGGGCTCAGACCAGTAAAGGATTTATCATCTTCACCTTGGACCAGTCTGGAGGCAGGGGGGCGTGGAGCTGGTGTAATGGCTCCAGCAGGCCAGCAGGGGCCCGAAGACGCTTCACATCCTCAGTCTGTGGCTTCAAGGTTGGGTGCCTCAGGGTCACCCGATGGTTTCTGGTACCTGCAGCACTATTTCTGTGTCCCCAGATTCAGTCTGTATATCCAGGAAGGGTAGGAGGCACAGGCAACCGAGGTTTCTGTCTTGGAAAGACAACTTCCAGAAGCCCCATCGCTAGCACTTGGCCATGTGGACATCACTGGCCAACACGGCCATCGTGGAGAGTGGGAAATGCAGCTTTTTTTGGTTGGTTTGTTTGTTTTTGGATCAAGCACAGGGCTGCGCAAATAGAATAAGGCTTCCATGAATAAGAAACGGAAAATGGCTGTTAGGTCACTGGGACATGAGGAAGCCTGGGGTGAATTCTCTCCCAGAGACACCCCCAGAATGAAAACCTTCACCCCCAACTCTCCCTGTTCTCACTTTTTCTGTAAAATGTAGATTTTTCAGAAGTCAGCTTTTCTAACTGGGGGAGGGGAGGAGATTAATCCTTATTGACATCCTCTTCCCTAATAAACGTTATTGTATCAACCGGATTTTCTCTCTTGCTCTTGCCAGCCTGGAGGAGAACCGTCTCCAGGATGAAGGTGTGTGTTCTCTTGCCGAAGGACTTGAGAGGAATTCAAGTTTGAAAGTTCTGAAGTAAGGACCCTTTGAGCAAGAGCCGGGATGATAATGACTGGTCTGGTGGGGGGCTGGGGGTGGGTGAGTGATCTGGGCAGCTTCCCACCCGGTTAACTCAGGGATCCCCCAGACACAGAGGGGGATTCCAGTGCGAGTTGTTTGCTGGGGAGGTGGTCCCAGCTCACGATGCTGAGAGGTCAGTGACATGACATGGGGGAGGACACGGACCCAAGAATAAGGGTGTCATCAGGCAGTTATGACCCTGCTTATCACCGAGGGCAGCGGCGGCTCAGACCTGCTGGGGAGCTCCAGAAACCCCTCCCCAACCAAGGAGCGAGGCAGCCGGGATATTTATCCACCAACTGCGTGTCCTGCGTCCATGTGCTTGTGGGAATATGAATTTTCTAGAGCTTCCGGTTTGCCCTGCACATGGCTGAGTACGCGCTGGGGGTCTGTAGAAAGTCCTCCGGCAGAGAGTGGAGGTTTTCCCAGCAAGCAGGCCCTGGAGTTAGAGGGGAAAGCTGAGGACATATGGATGGGTTGCCAATGGCATCCGCTATGGGGTTTACAGGACTTGCCTGCCCCCTCTCTGGGGGCGGGGGTCATCTCTAGCTCAGGCAGATGTCTTCTTCCATCATTGCCAGTGGTTTCTCTTATGCTGTGCAGGCAGGCATGCTTGCCTTTATTCATGGGTGCATTCATTTATTTCTTTGTTGTGCATCCATGCCTACATTCATCCATTTATGTATTGATGCAAGAAATATTTCCGGAACACTAACTGTGCCAGGCACTATTGCAGGCCCCGAGGATAGAGTGGTGGAAAGAACAGAGCAGGCTTCATCCCCCTTAGCTCTTTGGTTCTAGTGGGAGAGGCAGATAATGAACAAGTAAGCAGATACACAAGATGATGTATAAGGGCTCTAAAGAGAATTCAAGGGAAAGATGTGTCTGGGAGTATCTGGAGGGGCAGGGTTGCAGCTGCCTGGGCAAGGCCTCCCTGGGAACGTGGCACTGGAGTTGAAACCTGAATAACCAGAAACATTATTGTTCTTGTAATGCTGAGGTCTCAGGAATGTGCACCCCAGGTGGACCAAACAGCAAGTGCAAAGGCCCTGCAGCAGAAAAAAGCTTTGTGGTTTTGGGAAGGGCAGGCAGGGCCTACATGGTTGGGGGGGAGGGTGGAGGGAGGAAGGGGCAGGGTGGGTGGGGCACATAGGCCTTAGAGCCATGGGAAGGATCTGGGGTTTTATTCTAGGGGCATTGAGAAGCCTTGGGAGGATTTTAATCTGGGCAGTGACATGATCTGATTTACATCACAATGAGATCATACTTGCTGCTTTGTGTAGAACAGATGGGAGAGGGGTAAGATGGAAGTGGGGAGACAAGGCAGGAGCTCCTGCTGTCTTCTAGGCGGGAGATGAAGGAAACTTGGATGAGGCTGGTGGTGGTGGAGAAGGCTGGTGAAGGTGGGTAGGCTCTGGTTGAAGGTCCTGTGGAGGGTCCAGGAGCCACCAGCTGGAGGGCGGCAGCATTGGCCAGAAGTGGTGGCCACCCCTAGTGGTGGGCTCGGCGGGGCCTCCCCTCGCCCCCTCAAGAAAGGGACAAAGGATGTGAGGAGGAGCCCAGCTAGAGGTCATCACCGGCTGGTGCATTCTCGAGGATGGAGCCGTGCCTGCTGGGGTACCAATGGTCTTACTGGAAAGGGACAGCCTCAGACAGCTCCTTGTGTGACAGGAAGGGTGGCATCCGCCCTGGCGAATGTGGCCCATGGAACACGCTCGGCTTCAGAGGCGGGCAGACAGCTGCCTCTGGGAGTGTCTGCTTTGCCGCCAGCCCGCTAGCCACTCTGGCAATGCTTGTTTGTGTCGCTTTGCAGGGGCGAGGAAGTTGCCAAATGTTTGGGGGAAAACACTTCCACTCGTCACTTGGGTGAAACCGAGCTGGGAGGACTGGGGGATGCCTGGATTGTCTAAGGGGGGACGCCAGGCTTTGCACATGGGGGAGGGGGGTCTGGCAGTAGTACCTTAGTTTAGTACTAACCAGGTGTGGACCTGGCATGTTTGTCCTCCATCACCGACACAGACTTAGCCCAGGTGACCCCAAGGGCTGCCAGGGATAGCAGCCGGCCTTGTTCCCCGCTGCCTGGTAGAATGAAGCACCCCTGAATCCCATCATCCCTCATGGTTTCCCCATTAAAGCGAGCTTCCTGGGGCACCTGAGTGGCTCAGTCAGTTAAAGCATCTGAGTTTGCCTCAGATCATGATCTTGGGGTCCTTGGATCGAGCCCCCCATCAGGCTCCCTGCTCAGAGAGGAGTCTGCTTGTCCCTCGGCCCCTTCCCTCTGCTTGTATTCTCCCTCAAATAAATAAGTAAAATCTTAAAAAAAAAAAAAAAAAAGCAAGCTTCTTATGTATCTTAAGGGGGGAAAAGAAAGGAAGAAAGAAAAAAGAAGAAAAAAAAAAGCCTGCTTCCTTCTTTTTCCAGGCAAAGTGACTACCAAACATTGGTTCAGTGTAAGGGCTCTGGTACCTGATGGGTTGCCTTTGGACCCCGGCTCCAACATTACCCACTGTTTCTCTGTGGATTTGTGTTTCAGTGGCACTGAGCATAAAGGAGGGTAATAATGGGACCCTGCTCTTAGGGTCGTGAGCGTTACTGAGCTGACGGAGGTATTGGCCTGGTGCATTGTAAGAGTTCAGCAGATACTGGCCCTTGTTATTATCAGTGTTGGCTTTGGGGCCGCTTCCTGGATGGTCCTGAAATCCTGGAGGAGGCCTACACTTCCTGGAGATGTCTCGAAGGCCAAGCTGTGAGCTAAAAGAACGGCAAAGGGTAGTGGCTCTTCCCCCATTTTCCCTAACAGGGTGCCTTCTCCCCTCCCAACTGCCAACCTTGTATTTGCTCAAATCCATGTCCTTGTGTCCCCCATCTCCTCCCCAAATGGAAATATTGCCGTCTATTGATTATTTCCCATGAGTTGAGTACGAGGCCAAATGCACCACCATTCCTTTTTGTTTGTTTGTTTTGTTTTGTTTTAAGATTTTATTTATTTGTTTGACAGACAGAGATCACAAGCAGGCAGAGAGGCAGGCAGAGAGAGAGAGGGAAGCAGGCTCCCTGCTGAGCAGAGAGCCTGATGCGGGGCTCGATCCCAGGACCCTGGGATCATGACCTGAGCCGAAGGCAGAGGCTTTAACCCACTGAGCCACCCAGGTGCTCCCATTCCTTTGTTTTAACTCAAACTCCACAAGGTAGGTGCTCTTTTAGGTCTTACAGAGGAAGACCTAAAGGAAGTTGGCATTAATTTGCTGGAAATCCAAAAAGGAGCAGTATAAGCTGGATTGGAACCCAGGGAGTAAAACACACATACTTAACCTCTCATGCCAGATCGCCTTCCAAAGGGAGTAGCTACTTGACTAGATATACGAATCCGGGGAATGGGGGAGAGAGGGGTGCATTTCCTTGGGGGCCTTGAGCCTTTGTGGATGAGTTCTTTGGGAATCTCAGACAGAAGAGGGACATGTCAAGGGGGCAGGTGGACTTCTGTAGGCCGGCCCCCTCCCAAAGCCGCCTTTAATCGGACAGGCCCAAGAGGAGAACCGAGCATCCTTGAAGCTCACCCTTCCGTCTTCTTCTCCAGGCTGTCTGACAACTGCATCACCTACTTTGGGGCAGAAGCCCTCCTGCGGGCCCTGGAAAGGAATGACACCATCCTAGAAGTCTGGTAAGGCCGCTGGGCCATCCCCTTTACCTCGTTGAGCCTCCTTTTTCCAATCTGTAAAATGGGGCCAGGAGAAAGAGGGAACCTGAGCATTTTCCCTCTGGGCTCTGACATCCCATGCCATTCTGCTTGCAGTGGATCTAATTTCTGTCTGGGGAAGATGTTTTCCCATTTCCCAGCAGGGACCATGTGGTTCATTTTTAAACCCTGAGTATTCAGGAAGGTTTCTGTTCCCGGTGACAGTGTAGGAAGGGGTGTGGTGGAAGATGGACGACACATGAACTTGGGAGCATTGCACCTGCCTTCTCAGGTCAGGGCTGTTGTCTCTGGGTGGAGGTGACATTGGGGGGCGGGGGTGGATGGGGGGAGGAAGATGCTGCTGCACAGTGTTTCCGGATCTTTATAATTAAAAGCCACGTTCCTTCATGTGTTTGGAAAAAACACTGAGTCTCACCTTCAGAGATGTATGTTCCTTCCTTCCATGGATGTATTTTTCACTCCCAGAGTAATTACAAAGGTTTCCCCTGGTTGGCGTGTAACAAGTGAATGTCCCACTGTACATGTTTCAGGCACTGAGCTACAAGCCAACCTTTCAAAACTAGGAGATTCCCCCATGGAAATCTTTATTTCTGAGTTTTCTTCCCAAGGCTTCCAACTCTGGGTCCCCACGGGAAATGCCAGCAAGTAAGCAGAGTAGAGTAGGGCTGACTCCACTGAACTGGGCAGAGCAGCTCATGCCGATCGCATACCCAGCAAGCCTGGCGCCCTGCACCAGTCTCCTTTGACTGCTCTATGTGGCCTGTCTCGTCCCTGCAAACTTGTAACCCCTGTTTTGCATATGCTGACAGACCGGTCCCTCCCTCAAAAATCATATCAAGGCAACAGCAACAATACATACTGGATGATGAAGTTAAAAATAAAAACTTGTCGGAGTCTACCCCAGGAAGAGATTTTTTCCTTTCCGTATGATTGCATAAGCCTCGTAGACCGTGAGGTCCTCGGGTCCTGGGCAGAGCGTGGGTTTTTGTTTCTGTGTTTGTATTAAACCATCACATGGTCATAGGAAATGTCACATTCTGCGTCCAGGGGGAAGAAGCCAGCATCGGGTTGATATTTTAAGGGTTCTGATGTTATTTGCCACCTGTTGGCAGGACTTGGGAGGGCATGAGGGTTTGCTCATTGCATTCTTGGTAGATTCTACTGTTGCCTTAAAAAGAATCGCGGGCCTTGGAGAGTTGGGGCCGGCCGGGGCCCGTGCGGATTTTCTCTGCAGAGTCACAAAGTCTTGCTTCATCACACACAATGATTTTGTGAGCTGCCCTGGGTGGACCGAGGCTAACGCCAGCAGGGCAGGGCTGCAGCGGGGCCCAAGGGCCAGGCCATCGAGGCCCAGGTTTAGAAAGTAGCAACCTCCCATTAAAAGCAACATCCTGGGGCGCCTGGGTGGCTCAGTCGGTTGGGCATTTGCCTTCGGCTCAGGTCATGATCCCAGGTTCCCGGGATTGAGTCCCACATCGGGCTCTCTCCTCCAACAGAGAGCCTTCTTCTCCCTCTCCCCCTACTTGCTGTTCTACCTGCTTGTGCTCTCTCTCTGTCAAATAAATAAATAAAATCTTAAAAAAAAAAAAAAAAAAGCACCATCCTGGCTCAGCACTCATCTGAACTTCTCTTTGCTTTGTCCCCTTTAGGCTCCGAGGCAACTCGTTCTCTGCTGAGGAAGTGGAGAGGCTCGGCCTGAGAGACACCAGACTCTTGCTCTGAAGCCTGGGGGCCAATGTTGATCTCAGCATGTTTGTGAGCAGGCTGCGGGTTTGGACCCCTAAAGCTGGATTACAGAGCCGTGTCCTGCCCAGGTCAGGGCTGGTGGAGTGGGTCATCTCTGTGCCAGCAGAGGAAGGAGCAACAGGGTCCTTCAGAGCAAACTTTTCTGCAGCCGATTTTGCGTCTGGTTCTGCCCAAGATTCAGTCCACGGAATGTAGCAGAAGGGCAGCTCCTCCCTGCCTCCTGCTGATCTGACACAGGACAGCGGGGCCCATGGATGTTATCGTATCCTTGTGGATTCGAGAACTGGATCCTCAGGAGAGGCCCCTTCCTGCCTGACTCACAATGAGGAGGGGAACTCAGGACGCAACTTTCCGCCAGGTTTTCACTCCTGGGTGGTCATCTCTCCAGGCTGTTCCCCACATCTGGGCCCTCCCCCCATTCTGGATCCCCCTGCACGTGGGAAGGATTCAGAATACTCGATGTTTTCAGCTTTGATATTTAGAGCCACAAATGCAGGGTGGGAAGGGCTATAATTTACCTGCTGTCCTTCCCGATACTTAAGACATTATTGAAAGAGGACACGTGACAGCCACTTAGTTCCCCCAGACATTCTGGATTTTCAAGGAAAATAAGACCACACTACAGCTGATATCGCACACACACTTTTATTGCTGGGGAAATCAAATAGTCTTCAGTTAAGCTTTTGGAAGCCGCTCTCCACCCAAATGCAGTGTTGTAGAATCAGTCCTGGCCAGGATTTGGAGCGATTCCCCCAGGGCTCTGGCTGGTGCCTGGGAGAGGGACTCTGACAGCAGACTTCCAAAATAGATTCAGAAGAGGTGATTCGGTGTTACGTGATAAAAAGTTATGGATCAGAAGTTTACAGGGGCAAGATCAAAGACTTTTCCTTATAAGACAGATGTTTTCCCGGACTTTTTTTTTTTTTCCCCCCAAATGATGCATGTTGAAGCCTCTGTAAGGACACTGGTTAATATTTACAAACCACTTTGTTTTATTCCCCCCAGTTTGTTTTTTATAAAAAATACAACCACGGATTTTACACTGTAAATAGTCATAGCGAAGAAAATGGTGGAGAGCCCTCCCCCCACCCAAGCTGTCTTCATTGTGACCAAATATTAAAAAAAAAAAAAAATCCTGAACGTTGTCAGATATTAAAGCAGCAGTTTTTTACTTGGAGAGGGAAGAATGATGTTTGGACCAGAACACTTATTGTTTAGGGCAAAGGCAGTTCTTAGAACTAGGCCCTGCAAACAAAACTCTCTGGGCTTCGGCTTAGAAATGCCTAACCCTGCGTGAAGTCTGAGGCCGTGCGTAAGTCTCATGGTGCCCTGTGGGGTGGCAAGGCCAATGTGGGCTCCAGGAGTCTTTAGCAGGAGAAGGATGGAGAAGGTTCTGGAACAGCTCTTCTCAGCAAGCAGCCTCCTGGGAAGGTCTTGCTGAAATAATTCTCAGCTGCATTTAATGAGCTCAGGGGGCTCCTCACCAAAGTGAGATCCGCTCCCTGGCCAGGTTTTGTGGGCTTGGCTTGCGAAATGCAGCGGCATGTCCGTGGGCTCCCGCGTGTGGGCTTGCCTGTGGGCTCTCTGCTCGTGGTGTTCGTTTCTGTCCAGTCCACTGTTCTGAGACAGAAGATTGGGAGGGAGGTGGGGATCGACAAGGCCCGCTTTCCCTGAGGAGTCAACACAGCAGTCCGTGCATGTGGCAGCATCTTGGATTGTAAATTTCATTTTCCTGAAATTCCTTCAGCAATGATTTATGGGCCAGATATGGTAGGAGCATCGGTGGAAGAACAACAGAGACACAATCCCGGTCCTCAAGGCACTTAGGTTGGTGAGGAGGGGAGAGGTGGGCAGAAAACTAGTGAACTGGAAGATACAGAAAATAAGGTCCACTGTGGTAACTGCTAGGAAGGAAATAAACAGAGGCGCCGGAGTGACTCAGTTGGTGAAGTGTCTGCCTTTGGCTCGGGTCATGATCCCAGGGTCCTGGGATCGAGCCCCATGTGAGGCTCCCCGCTCAGTGGAGCACCTGCCTCTCCCTCTGCTCTTCCCTTCCACTCACGTGGGTGCACTTTCTCTCTCAAAAAAAAAAAAAAAAAGAAATGAAGGTTCAAGATAGAGGGGAATCTTCAGATTGGGGATTGAGCAGAGACATGTAAGGGTTGGGACCCTAAGAATGAGGAGGGGCTGGCCTTGCCAAGAGTCAGGGGGCTTGTTTACCAAGGACAAGCTTCAGGAAGACCTGTCATGGAGAAGAGCCCAGTACATGTAGTAGCCTGAATAACGGCCCCAAATATTTAACTCCTCCTTCCTTGAACCTGAGAATGTTGCCTTATGTGGCAACGGGTACTTTAAAGATATGATTTAGGGGCGCTTGGGTAGCTCTGTTGGTTAAGCGTCCAACTCTTGATTTTGGCTCAGGTGATGATCTCAGGGTTGGGAGATTGAGCCCCACATCAGGCTCTCTGCTTAGTGGAGAGTCTGCTTGAGATTCTCTCCCTCTCCCTCTGCCTGTCCCCCCTTAAGCTCTCTCTCTCTCAAAAAATAAAAAAATAAAAATAAAGATGTGATTAAGATGAGGATCTTGGTTGGGGCACTGAGTGGCTCAGTTGGTTAAGCATCTGCCTTTGGCTCAGGTCATGATCCTGGGGTCCAGGGATCAAGTCGCACATTGGGCTCCCTGCTTCTCCCCCTGCCTCTGCCTCTTTCTCTCATGAATAAATAAATAGAATTTTTTTAAAAAAGATGAGGTTCTTGGGATGGGGAGATTTTCCTAGATTATCTACATAGGCTGTATTTGTAACCAAAAGTGTTTTTATAGGAGAGAGGTAGAGAGGGTGATTTGACACAGAAGAAGAAGGCGGTGTGATCACTGAGGGAAGTTGCTAGACTGCTGGCTTTGAAGGTGGGAGATGGGGCCCCATGGGGGCAAGGAGTGCAGCTCTGGAAGCTGGAAAAGTCAAGGACAGGGAATTTCCCCTAGAACCTGTGGAAGGAACAGCCCTGCTGTCACTTTGATTCTGGCCTCCAGGACTGTAAGAGAAGTAATTGGTGTCATTTTAACCCACCAAGTTTTGGGTAATTTGTCACAGCAGCCACAGGAGACAAATACATTTAAGGCAAACTAAGGGGTGAGTGTCACTACATGGGCTCGGAGAGGTAGGTAGGATCAGTTCACGAAGCGCCTAGTTGACCATGGTCAATGGCTTGGGCTTGATCTTAGAATAGTGACCAGCCATTGCAGAGTTCTAAGCAGGGTCAAATGTGACCCAATGACATTTAAAGAAGACCTCTTTTGCTCCTGGTTGGAGAAGGGACTGGATGGCATAGGGGAGGGACGAGCAGAAAAAGTAGACAGAACCACCTAGAAGCTATTGCAGGTGAGAGAGGCAGTTGTTTTAATGTGGTGTCAGCAAAGGTGGAGAGAAGAGGACGGATTCCAGAAACATCCTAGGAGTTGATTCCCAAAGGCTAACAAATGGAATGGATGAGAGAAGAGGGGGAGGGGAGATTCAAGTCCCCTCGATTTTTTACTTGAGTCACTGGGGCACACCATCTTGGAGGTCAGCTGGGAAGACAGATGGGAAGCAAGCTTGGAAGTGGGAGGGACTTTGTTTTGGATTGTCTAGTTTGGGATACCTGAGCGACATCAAGTGGAGACACCAAGTTATGCCCTGAATCTGAAGCCCATGGGAGAGGTCATTGCCAGGTTTAACAGCATGGGTGTCCTCAGCCTCTAAAGGGGGATGGGCTCATTGGGCCCAGATGTTATAACCCAGGGAGAGATTATGGAGAAGAGTTCAAGAGGGCCCAGCAAAGGGTGCCACTGGGACCTAGATATGTCCTTGCCGTCAGAGCTCAGAGTAGAAGCTTCTTAAATTTCCAAAGTCCAGCAGATCCACCAAAAGCATTCTGGGCCCAGGCAGGTAACTTGCGAACAAGTTAGTTCGACTTCCAGAAATCACTTTGCAGAACAGGAACAGATACATTCCAGATTTGTGGCTGAAAATACATAATTCTTCTGTGCAGGGGGAACAAAAAGGTACCAGAGTAGGAGAATTTTTTTTAAAAGAGCTTCAGAGTTTCAATTATATTCACCATCATCCTAGAAGAAAAAAAAATGTCAATCTGAGTGTTACCCCCGCCCCCCACATAGTGCCAAAACCAGATACTGGAACGAATATACCCCGCAGAAAGTGTGGGAGGTGGAATCACATTCTGAGCAGGCTGAGTTGAGACTACATACAGCATCATTTCATTATTGCACCAACACATCTTCACGCCTCCGTCCCCACTCAGGAGATGGGCGCAGCCCAGTGGGCGAAGCACACAGCGATGGCACACACTGGTAGTGCCGGCACGCCAGGGAACACAGAGGCCCGGGCCCTGGGTAGCAGGTTTCCCCAGGTGAGCGGCAAGGTCATGAATGACCTGCCCAGGATGCCCCTTGGAGAATTACATGGGGAGAGCCTTCAGCTGTGCAGACTGGCAATCCCAAATCATTGGATTCTCCAAGATTCCTTTTTTTTTTTTTTTTTTTTTTGGCTCCAGATTTAATCCCACCTATCATCACTTCTGGAATAGTCCACAAATTCAATCTTCTAGGCATCACCACCCCTCCGTTATCAATCACTGAGAAAATCCCTCCTCTCCCATTTTTACTTGGAACAACATCCTTCTTGACATCTTCAGTTCCACATACCTGTCCTTCTCACCGTCTCCCCTCCACCCCCAGGAAAGAAGGGCCTCCTGAGGGGTGCACCCTTGCCTTGCCTGGATTACTGCATTAGTGTCTTAACTGGCTGGCCTGTAGCCCACACATGAGCCTGTTAACAGGTAAGTCATATGAGCCACTGCTCTGGTTGAAATTCACCAGAACTTCCCAATCTAGCTCAAGGTGAAAGTTAAGGTCCCCTGGCCCGCCCCTGGGGTTTTCATGGACTTCCCCCTTGCCACTCAGACACCCATTCCCTGTGCTCCAGCACACGGCGTCTTTGCCGCTCCTTGACCATGCAAACTGTGTCCATACTTTTGCACCTGCCTATTTTCTCTTATAGGAACACTCTTCCCTAGACAGTGGCCTGGCTGGCTTCATTTACTGCAGGTCTTTGTTCAAATGTCAGCTCATCAAGAGACCCCTTCCCTGAGCCGTCTACCTCCAACAGTAGTCCCCAACCACTCTCTGCTCCCCAGCCCTGCTTACTAGTGTCCTCCCAGCACAGGCCAATTGACATACGTGTGTTTCTTCCTTCCCCTAGAATGTCAGCTCCATGAGAAGAACAAGAGCTGTGCTTGCCGCAGAGTCCTCTGGGGCTAGAATAGTGCCTAGTGCATAACTGATGCTCAAATATTTGTAAACCTAACGGAGAATCGACCTGCTTAAAGGAAGCAGAACATAGAAGTTGGGCAAGATTATAAAAACAAGGGGTGCCAGGGTGGCTCAGTGGGTTAAAGCCTCTGCTTTCTGCTCAGGTCATGATCCCAGGGTCCTGGGATTGATCCCCTCATGGGGCTCTCTGCTCAGCAGGCAGCCTGCTTCCCTTCCTCTCTCTCTCTGCCTGCCTCTCTGCCTACTTGTGATCTCTCTCTCTGTCAAATAAATAAATAAAATCTTAAAAAAAAAGATTATAAAAACAAATTGCCTTTCTCCTGACACCATCAGTGTCTCCTTCCTAAGGGAGGAAATTTTCTTGCCACGTGAGATCATTTTTAATGTGTTTACTGTACCAAATGGGATCCCAGAGGTAGCACAGAAGTCCCAGTGAAGAGCCTTAGACCCCTTTTCTCTGTGGGTATGTTTTTCAAATCACACAGAGATCATTTATCATTGATAACAGCAAATAGCTCCAAGAGAGGAGCAAGTATTTTTAGTTCAGCAGGATTAGGGGAAAGATGATTAAAGTAATCACTTTTATCTTATCAAAAAGAGCTTTTGGGTGACTGGAGTAAAAGCCCCCAGAGAGCATGTTCAGTTGCACCTGGAGACCCACCCCCCAACCACCCCCACTGCTAAGAAACAAGCACATCCTTGGAATGGCAGACTCTCTACCCATCCATGGACTGAAACACCAGGCCGGGCTGTACGGAGAAAAGGCCCATGCAGTCTCCTTGCC